CTTCAAAGGTTTTAGGCAGCACAAAAATATCATCAACCCACCTGCTCCGAAACCAACCAAAAGTCAAATTAAGTAAGCACATTGGATCTACTAAAGTTCTGCATGAGTGTGATTTCTGAGATCACCAGATCTTCCATTGAATGACTAAAGAAGGGCTGGGAAGAAATTAAGGATCAGGTGGAAGGAAGAGAAGCAGAGAAGTCTAATAATTTGGCTAGATACGGTGGCCAGAAAGCAGGTTCTTAAAATCTGTACAAAGATGCAGTTCTGAGTGGGAGTGCTATTGGCTGACATGCAACAAAACATAGAAGGGATGCCGAAAAAAGAGGGGTCTTGGTTTCTAGCAGAAGACTTTGGCTGCAATTTGCAAAGTTGGCTCTCAGTTCAAGCAGAAAACAAAGGCTGCAGAAGGAGCACAGCAGAGAAGCACCTATTTTGGAGAATGCAAAAGTATGCACATTTTTGTGGATGTTGGGTTTGTCCTAATAAAGGTATTGCCTGCTTGTGGGTTTCTATTTGTTTTGTTCATGGACTAATATGACTATGTTTGTTTAGATTCGCTATAGTCTTGCCATGGAAACACAACAGTGTTAACTACCCTGCAAAAAGACACCATTGTGCAAAGGTAAACTGGACTACAGCTATAATTTGGGAATTGTTTAGAGCATCAACATAATTATATACTTTCATATAGTAGTTGTTTCTCTCCTCTGCTATAACTTGATTTGATTGCCGTTTGGTAAAAATCATCATTTTCTTTAACTGCATAAAATGACTTATTAAAATGTAATTTTTTTCAGTTGCCAGGAAAAATTACCTTGCAATCCTTGCAACATTCTTGTGGCTTATGATATAACAGAGCTCTACACAAGAAAATTCCAGCCAACTTGCCTCATTGCAACCAAGCTAGTATTTAACCATAACAGACATACAAAAGCCTGGTTAAAATGCTAGTTTGAGATCGGAAACAATGAGAATTGTTCTCCATCTACACTGAAAGAGGACATTAAGTGTAATCATCTTTTTCATTGGTTTTACCATTATTATTCTATTTATTAAAATATAATCTTAAATAATATTTATTTATTTATTTATTATACATTTGGCCCTGCCATAGGTTTTTAATGCGTCGTGGTGTTATTGTTACTGTTTATTGCTTTGTTTGTGAGTTTATTTATTGTCTGTATTGCTGTTGTTGTTTTTACTGATGTACTTGGGCTCGGCCTCTTGTAAGCCACACCAAGTCCTTCGGGAGATGGTAGCGGGGTATAAATAAAGGATTATTATTATTATTATTATTATTATTATTATTATTATTATTATTCAGTGCTACAATTACAGTCAAATTGCTTACAACGACAAGGGTAAAGTAAATGTTACAGCTTGATTCTGTTCAGGGGCTGTTGTGTAGTTTTTTAATGTGTTTTGAATAGGTTTTAATGGCCTTAACTATTCATTTTTAGATAATGCTGGATTTAATTTTATGTTGGTGTTCGCAGTCTTGGGGTTGTAATTATATGCAGTACTCTTTGTTTAGCATTGTTGGATGCTTTGAGTCTAACTAAGAAAAAAGGTTGCATATTCAGGGAAAACTGCGTGCTTTGAAAATGTGGGTAGAACATGATAGCTGGAGGGTTTTGCTTTGACTAGCAGCCACCCACCCCAAGATGCAACATAACACACTGAAAACCTAGCTGCCCGTTTTCAGTGCCCAAGAGAAGCTGAGGTGTCACTTCTGAAGGCATCTGATCCACCTGCAACAAACACAAAAGCCCACCCCCACTTGTCACCATTCCAGAGGTGTCTGATCTGTCTCCAACATACATGAAAGCCTTTGATGAGAAAAGGGTGGGCTACCCATTTCAAAATGGGCCTTTGAATGGAACCTAACTGAGAAAAGAATGCTGGTATTTCATCAAGGGTATACAGTATCTGTTGATTCAGTAATACCTGCATATACTTGAGTAGAAGCTGACCCGAATATAAGCCGAGGCACCTAATTTTACCACAAAAAACTGGGAAAATGTATTGACTCGAGGATAAACTGAGGGTGGGAAATGCAGCAGCTACGAGTACATTTCAAAATAAAAATAGATACCAATAAAATTACACAAATTGAGGCATCAGTAAGTTAAATGTTTTTGAATATTTACATAAAACTGTAACTTACGATAAGACTGTCCAATTCTGGTTAAATCATTATTCTAACCTTCTTCAATGTAAATATTCTTACGTATTCTTCCAATAATCATCATAGTTTATTTTAACTATACATTTTGGGGAAAATACTGTTGTGGGAAAGACTGGCACTGAGAGAGGAAGAGAGGAAAGTGCACACTACACTGAGAGAGGAGAGGAAGGCACACGCTGCATAAGAGAAGAGAAGAGAAGAGAGGAAGGAGCACACTGCACTGAGAGAGGAGAGGAAGGTACACGCAACGTGAGAGAGGAGAGGAAGGCACACGCTACGCAAGAGGAAAGCACAAACTGTACTGAAAGGAGAGCAAGGATCATGCTGTGTGAGAGAGGAGAGGAAGGCGCATGTTGCGCGAGAGAGGAGAGGAAGGCACACGCTGCGCAAGAGGAAGGCACATACTGCACTGAAAGGAGAGCAAGGAGCATGCTGCGCGAGAGAGGAGAGGAAGGTGCATGCTGCGTAAGAGAGGAGAGGAAGGTGCACAGTGCACTGAAAGGAGAGCAAGGAGCATGCTGCGCAAGAGAGGAGAGGAGGGTGCATGCTGCGCGAAAGAGGAGAGGAAGGCGCACACTGCACCAAAAAAAGTAGAAGAGGAAGGCACATGCTGCACCAAGAGAGGAGGAGAGAAAGGAGAGCTGGGTTGCTGTGCGGAGAGGTGAGGGTCCTGGTGGGAAGGCATTGGTCTGAAAGAAGCCCTTCTTAAAGCCCCATGCCTTCTTGCCAGGACTCTCACCCGAGTGTAAGCCAAGGGGGGTTTTTCAGCCTAAAAAAAGGGCTGAAAAACTAGGCATCTACTCAAGTATATATAGTACTTGTCCAATTAAAATCCTACAGGTTCTAATCAAAATAGATCAACTTCACACTCACAAAACTCAAAAGTCACACTATAGCTTATACTGGCTGTTAAAACTTAACCCTTTTTTAAATTTCACATATTTTTCCACACATAAAAAAGATACTGAGGATACAGCTGCAGATAAATCTAGCAAAAGACCACAGAATGACATTTCATGAAGCTCTCCAAGGATTCTGACAACTGCAGAGGCGAAAGCCACAGAACCACACACACGCTTTCAGATTTTAGCAAGGAAGTTAGGATTCCTTCAGCTGTGTATGCTTAAGGAAAGAGTGTTCTGAAATGTTTTTAAATCTACAAATCTCTTTCAATAATTAACACTACTGTAATCAATACACCAGTATCTTAAAAAGACAGTATCTTGTTTTGCATTGTCAACATGATCCCTATAGTTCTACACTAGTTGAGTAAAGTAACTGAAGCATCCAGTTTGAAAAGCAGTCCCACTCAATCAGGGGAAGCACCCTCAGGAAAAGAGGATTCTGTAGGCCACTAATGCTAACAATCTCATAATTCTGTGACATGATGGCATCGTGAAAGGTTCATGTAAAATGGAACGCTACCACTATGGCTATCTATTGAAAAGACCAAATCTTTATGCTGGGCTTTTGGTTTATGGAGATAAAAAAGCCATCTCAGTCTTGGGAAATATTTATACTTCACCTTACAAATAATTAAATAGACTGGCCCCTGACGTCAAACATTTGTTTGGGAGGCATAAGTCATGGTCAGTGTTGTATCTAGAGAAATGGAAGGGAAGTCTGATGTTGTACACAGATGGGCTAACAGCTTTTTAGAGAATGCCCCACCTTTGTCAATGTGGCATCTCAACTGATTGATGTAATAAACTCTTGTTTCCAGGAAAACTGGGTTCTACTTCCTTCAATGTATCTTCCATTGCATCTTTTAACTTCACTGATATCAACTACACCAATGCAATGGTATAGGATAACTATGAAGAAACAGGAGCATCTATCAAGGAAATTAAGAGGAATTGACCAAAACAGTCGAAGGTCTGAAAACCATGTCCTAGCAGGAGCATCAACCCAGAGAAGGAAAGATTAAGGAGTAACATGATAGCCATATTTAAATATTTGGAAAGATGTTATAGGGAAGATGGAGCAAATAGGTTTTCTGCTGTCTCAGAGACTAGGAGACGGAGTAAAATGCTGGAAAAGAGATTCCACCTAAACTTTGGGAAAAACTTCCTGATGATGAAAGCTGTTAGGAATTAAACTGCCTCAGAGCATGGAGGAGTCTGGATGACTATCTGTCAGGAGTGCTTTGATTGTGTACTTCTTCTGCATGGCAGGGGGTTGGATCAGATGGCAGTCCAAATGTATGATTCTATGAAATACATTTGTTGGTGATAATCCAGTGAATTACTGAAATTTATATTAAGTATCAACTCACCAAGTTCCCACTGATGCAATGGGATTATTCTAGTTGGAAATGGCAATTGATTTAGGCCCAGATCCAGCAGAGGACCTTGCTGAAAAATGTGGATTTTTATTAAATTACTTTATATATTGTTATTGTTATTATATTATTATTGCTATTATTATTATTATTATTATTATTATTATTATTATTATTATTATTATTATTGCCTCCCACAAGGATAAAAAACATCAAATCATCCAGGCGTCCCCTGGGCAACATCCTTGCAGACGGCCAATTCTCTCACACCAGAAGCGACTTACAGTTTCTCAAGTCGCTCCTGACACAACAAAAATATATATATTAGTATTATTATTCAGATTCATTTCTAGAAGGGAGTATGAAGGACTGCAGAAGGAAAGAAGAATCACCAAAACTGTTCCCATCTCCCTCCTCTCCCAGAGTGTCCTGTGACCGGAATTATAAGTCTGAATTGTGCCCAAAATATTACAAAGAGTCCCCCAAAAGCATTGAAGAATTCAGAGCAAAAATTGCTAGTATACATACTTGTTACTTCTTGTAGGAAATCCAAACAAGGCCGGCTATTTCCCGAAATGCTTATTGAAACCGCCAGTGGAGTCTGTCCTTCATAGTTCCTTGTGTTAGTGTCTGCACCATAATAGTATAACATCTGTGCGCACAGCACATCATCCCTAAGAGCAGATAAGTGCAAAGGTGTCTGTCCATCTTCCAAGCGCCCCAAGTTTGTATCCGCGCCTCTCTGAAGGAACATCCGGCAGTAAGAGTGATTGCTTTTGATCACAGCATAGCGTAGCAGGAAGCCGTTCTGAATGTCAATGTTGGCATTGTGGTCCAGGAGGATTTTGACACAGCTGGACCTTTCGCGGATGATGGCCAGCTGAAGCGGCGTGGTGCCTTTGTCGCTGAGAGGGTCGACTTCGGCTTTGAACTCCAGCAAGAGCCGGACAAATGAGTCTCGGCCGTAATGAGCGGCCACATGGAGGGGAGTCCAGCCATCATTGCTCTTGGCATTGATGATGTCGGCGCGGTAGTCTGACTCCAACATCAGGCGCGCAATCCGGGCCCGGCCGTGCATGGCTGCGTAATGTAGAGCAGTGAAGCCACCGATTAAGTCTTTCACCGTAGGGTCAGCTGAAGATTGTGAAAAAAGTGGAAGGAGTTAGCACTTATTAAAGATTTTTTTAAAAACCAAGATGATAAAGTGCTAAAATTACTAGGAAACAGTTGCAGTAAATGCTTTCTCCCACCAGATCACTAACAAATTACTTAAAATGGTACCTTTTTTTATAGAAAGCATGGGTAGCTGAGCTTTCCCTGTGAAATGATTACTTAATTAGAATCTCTGTTTACACCTTTGCTATTACAAAGTTTCAGCACAGTGACTGTCACTTTACTGCAGAAGTTGAAAACGAACAAGAAATACTGTATCTTTTGGCATCCATTGTATTTTAAACCACTTCGCCTTCAATACCTAGTAACTCATTTCTGGGAAAAATCTTCAATACTTTGCATGGTATGTTATGTTTCAACATTTCAATCAAAAGGCAAGCCAGACAGTTCTTCCACATGAAACACTATTAACTAAAAGCTGGAAAAGCTGATTCGAGAGAATCTAATTTATTAACTAACTAGCTGTCCCCTGCCACGTGTTGCTGTGGCCCAGTCTGGTGATCTGGAAAATAAAGTAATGGTTTCTAATATATGTAATTCCTTTATGCTTGTGGGTAAACAGTATTCCTTGTTGTTTCTGTCAGTGTTTATGTGGAGATTGTCTGGTTTGCCTACTCTGGAACATGCAACATATAATTGTCCTTCTTTAGGGGTCCCTTTCAAATCTATGATACTATATCTGTGTGAATAATATCTATCTATCTATCTATCTATCTATCTATCTATCTATCTATCTATCTATCTATCTATCGCTGGATGGCTCTTTGTCAGGAGGACTTTGATTACATTTTCTTGCCCTGATGAAGGGAGTTGGATTGGATGGCCTTAAGTATTTTCTGTTGGTCATGGGGGATCTGTGTGGGAAGTTTGCCCCAATTTTGTCATTTGTGGGGTTCAGAATGCTCTTTGATTGTAGGTGAACTGTGAATCCCAGTGACTACAACTCCCAAATGTCAAGGTCTATTTTCCCCAAACTCCATCTGTATTCATATTTGAGCATATTGAGTGGTTGTGCCAAGTTTGGTCCAGATCCATCATTGTTTGAGTCCACAGTGCTCTCTGGATGTAGGTGAACTACAACTCCCAAACTCAAGGTCAATGCCCACCAAACCCTTCCAGTATTTTCTGTTGGTCATGGGAGTTCTGTGTGCCAAGTTTGGTTCAATTCCATCGTTGATGGAGTTCAGAATGCTCTTGATTGTAGGTGAACTATAAATCCCAGCAACTACAACTCCCAAATGACAAAATCATAATTTTTTGAGTGATGGTCACTCCTTGTGTTGTGAGACTTTTGTTGCCAAATTTGGTGTGATTTCGTTCATTGGTTCTTTTGTTTTTAAGGTACTCATTATGCACAGAGCATTTTTATATATATAGAAGATAGATTCTTTGAACTCTAGATAGCAATAATGCTTTCAAGTCAATTCATCCTGTGCTTCCAAACCAAACAGAAAAGGGGAATATATAACACTGGCTATCCAGTTTTCTGACATCTGCAGCACACCTTATATCCAACTGCTCAAGGTATTTCTACCTACCCCAGTTCCTTCCAACTCTAAAATCTCATGCTTCATTCAGTGTTTTGTTTTCCCTTGTGCTTCTTGGCCTTAAAGAGAAGCATGTGTTGCAACATCTGCTGGCCCAAGATGCGGATGTATTGTGGTCTGGCAAGATGCGCTTGTTTTGGGGGCAGGGGGCGCAATACTGTATAAGGTAACGAAGGCTCTCTGCGGTCCGCAGCATTTCCAAAACATGTAAAGCTATATGTTATTTCAGATTGTCTCGATAAAAAAATGTTTTCGATAAAATGAAAATAATCTGGGTTTGCCGTTTCACAAAATGCCCAGATTTTGCAAGAATGTAAACATCCAATTATGAGGAAAGAAAATATGGCAAAATGTCAAAATTCCAGCAAGCAAACGATAGCGCAGGTCTCTCCCTCATCTCTATTAGAAGACTGGATTCAGAGTTTTAAAACAGCAGCCAGATGTATATATGCATTTTCTATTCTTCCAATCTACCTCTATATTATATATAAAACCATCACCCAAGAGGAGCTTTGCTCATGCTTAACTGACAGGGTGCCTGCCAATCAGTATGGAACATCTGTGCTAATGTTATCTGCATATATACCCAACAAGGTATTTGCAATGATAACGTAAGATTATAAAAGTGCCACATTTGTGATGTTAAAGTCAACTTCCAGTCTGAACATTTCTATGGTGGAACAGGCCCCTAATATATAATAGCATTTAGGTCTGAACGGGAACCATAGTATTACATTTGCCCTCCAGGAGGAACAATATAGAACAGACTATTGTCATTTTTATAGCTAAACCAGAAAGAGCATCTTGCTATATTTTATTTATTTATTTAACTTGTATACCGCTACTCCCAATTTGGCTCGGAGCGGTTTACAGAAGCAGATTAAAACAATACAATTAGCTTTAAAAATAACAATAACAAAACAATAGACGGCGAGAACAGGCATAGTTCGGGTTGTTCACCCGTCAAAAGCTTGCCGGGAAAAAAAGTTTTACAGGCTTTCCGAAAAGCAAGTAGGTCTCGGATGGTTCGAGTTTCAACCGGCAAGGCATTCCATAAATAAGGGGCCACGATCGAGAAAGCTCTATGCCTAGTAGATGACAAATGGTAAGTCCGGATGTCAGGGACTGCAAGCAAACCTTGGTCTTCAAACCGGAGTAATCTCTGGGGTTGGTAGGGGGATAAGCGGGCACTCAGGTATGCCGGCCCCAGACCATGTAAGGCCTTAAAGGTTAGTACCAGCACCTTGAAAGAGGAATCATAGAATCATAGAATCAAAGAGTTGGAAGAGACCTCATGGGCCATCCAGTTCAACCCCATTCTGCCAAGAAGCAGGAATATTGCATTCAAATCACCCCTGACAGATGGCCATCCAGCCTCTGTTTAAAAGCTTCCAAAGAAGGAGCCTCCACCACACTCCGGGGCAGAGAGTTCCACTGCTGAACGGCTCTCACAGTCAGGAAGTTCTTCCTCATGTTCAGATGGAATCTCCTTTCTTGTAGTTTGAAGCCATTGTTCCGCGTCCTAGTCTCCAGGGAAGCAGAAAACAAGCTTGCTCCCTCTCCCTGTGGCTTCCTCTCATTTATACATGGCTATCATATCCCTCTCAGCCTTCTCTTCTTCAGGCTAAACATGCCCAGCTCCTTAAGCCGCTCCTCATAGGGCTTGTTCTCCAGACCCTTGATCATTTTAGTCGCCCTCCTCTGGAAACATTCCAGCTTGTCAATATCTCTCTTGAATTGTGGTGCCCAGAATTGGACACAATATTCCAGGTGTGGTCTAACCAAAGCAGAATAGAGGGGTAGCATTACTTCCCTAGACCTAGACACTAGGCTCCTATTGATGCAGGCCAAAATCCCATTGGCTTTTTTTGCTGCCACATCACATTGTTGGCTCATGTTTAACTTGTTGTCCACGAGGACTCCAAGATCTTTTTCACACGTACTGCTCTCGAACCAGGCCTCCCCCATTCTGCATCTTTGCATTTCGTTTTTCCTGCCAAAGTTTTTCCTACTCAATCGGAAGCCAGTGCAGCTGTTGGAGGATTGGGGTGATACGACACCTCGCTGGCACCCCGGCAAGAAGACGTGCCGCCGCATTTTGCACCAGCTTCAGTTTCCGGATCACTGACAAAGGAAGGCCAATGTAGAGGGCGTTACAGTAGTCAAGCCTCGAGATGACCGTCGCCTGGATCACCGTAGCCAGGTCGTTCCTAGATAGGTAGGGAGCCAGTCACCTAGCCTGACGCAGATGGAAAAACGCAGATCTGCTCACAGCAGAGACCTGGGCCTCCATTTTTAGCAGCGGGTCCAATAAGACACCAAGACTTTTTACAGAAGGTGACGGACGTAGTGTCTCGCCATCCAGGGTAGGCAGCTGGATCTACCTCCCTCCCACCCAGACGGCCCAGCCAAAGGATCTCCGTCTTCGCTGGGTTCACCCTCAACCTGCTGGCACGCAACCATCCAGTAACGCCCTCAAGGCACTGATGGAAAATTTCGGGTACGGAGTCCGGCCAGCCCTCCACCCTCAGAATGAGCTGAGTGTCGTCATATAAACTATGGCCAGAAACTCTTTGAATTGGAATTACAATTCACACCTATCAACAGAGATAAAGTGAAGCCAAACAAATTCCAATCATTAATTAAATTTACTTGGATTTACACGTAGGCTTTGAGCTAGAAGGATGAATTTTCTTTTTAAAAATTGAGGAAGAATCTTGCAGAGAGAAATATGACTGTTTAGACATGGGTGTGTAATATGCAGATTCTTTCAAACGAATCCATTGACAAATACAAAACTGAATCTGGTGCAAAAAGAAGGGCTGATTAGGTGATACCAACAATAGGTGAAACCCACCTAAGATCCTAGGAAGAAATCTAGAATCCATTGACGTACTAAGCCCAAAGAATTAATGCTCCATAATCTCACATTCTTCCTGTAGTCCATGATATTCAGTTCCCAAATTATATTTGTGGTCATCTCTCTCTGAAACTCCTTAAAAGGCAAAGGTTTTCCCTGACATTAAGTCTAGTTGTGTCCGACCCTCGGGGGTGGTGCTCATCTTCATTTCTAAGCCGAAGAGCCGGCGTTATCCATAGATGCCTCCAAGGTCATGTGGCCACTGGCATGACTGCATGGAGTGCCGTTACCTTCCCACAGAAGTGGTACCTATTAATCTACTAACATTTGCATGTTTTCGAACTGCTAGGTTGGCAGAAGCTGGACCTAACAGTGGGAGCTCACCCCACTCCTTGGATTCGAAACACTGACCTTTCGGTCAGCAAGTTCAGCAACTCAATGGTCTCACCCACTGTGCCGGCAGGGGCTCCCTATACAAATTTTATTTATTTATCCAGCCATCTAACATAAATATATAAAACATTAGGACGTGATCAACAAAACTAACCTGCTCT